ACAGCCGGGGTTAGGAGAACCAAACAGCGGACTTTATTTTATAGTTGTTTCTTACCCAGTAGCTTACTCCAAAAATCACTATAATCCTTAAAAAAAAAAATTCAGAGGAGCTATAATACTATGTAACCGAGGTCACTAAATATTGAAAAGGCTGAAGGTTGGACCAAGACGACATGGAAGATAAATACCCTGTCCAAACCAGCAGCATGTCTGGCAACAAATGAAGCTGTTCCATGTCCTGGGGGCAAGATCTTGCACAAGTAACTAATGAGCATGTTGTTGGGAACTGACAAATATTCCAGCAGACTAACTGCACCTGCAGTTTCTATCTTGAACAGTTTCTTGGGGGTAATATTGCTCATGATCTGCACGTACAGCAAAGTTGGTTTTTAATACATTCCAAGGCATTTGGACTTTTTCTGATTGCAGAAAAGCACCCTGAATTGCAAATGCAATTCAGTTAAAATTCACGTCCTGGAAGATGACAAGGTGTAAGGGCAAGCTGTCAGTTTTTCTAAATTATCCAAACAGGTCTAAGTCATCGTAACCAAATGGTATTATTCCAAATCTGTACAATTTCTAAACCCCCTACAGGATTATTCCCCTAAGGGTGAACCTTTTAAAAGCTGGGAACACAGACACGTGTTATCAAGAATCCACTCCTGCTCAGCCATGTTCACAAAATACTGGACTCTTTTCAATTAATCCCTGTCAGGGAGATGTTTATTTAATCATCTTTCATAATTATCTTCACTTACAAGCTACATGCACACAACGTCAAAGGTCCAACTGACAGACGAAAATGGACATCATTTCGTTATTTTCTCAGAGCTGGTCGGTTAAAGCGTCGGTCTCACTGCCTCTACCCACTTAAGTTTTAGTCCTTCGCCTGGACTCTGCCACTCTCTGCAGACAACTGAACTATTTGCAACTGTCAAGAAGAGAAAGGAATTAAGTTTCCCTTTATCTGACGTTAAAAAAAAAAAAAAACAGAGTGCATCAATTTTAATGCTCTCTTGATGGTTAATTTCCGTACGTCACACAGGAGGCTAAAAACCCATTTGACACCTCAGGCCGAAGAAGACAAAGCTTAGGAATCAAGCAGAACGAGATAATCCCCTGCTCTTCCAAAAAAAAAAAAAAAAAGCCATTCCTCAACATTCCCTTTTCTGAAAGCCATGCTAGGAACTGTCAGAAGTGACGGTCCCTTGACTCCTACCTTCATTTCTTAAGCTGACCCCTTCCAGGACCACAAGAAGTAGTGACGTTACGGACAATGCACATGAGTTATGTATGAGATTTATATGCATATGTATATGTGCATTTATATTTCTGTGTGCATCTATATATTATTTGCATATATTTATATACACACATATTATTAATATATGTGCATATAACAGACATGCATATACATAAATATATATATTATATATATAAAACATATATATTATATATATAACATATATACATAAAACACCAATGTGCACATGCAATTTAGCTGAAAAGTTCTGGTTCTGTTTTCTACTATGAGTTATGCTCCATTAACATCAGACTGCTGGGTGGTTATATGTGCAACATATTAAGCACTTTGCATTAATTAATATCTTTTATCTCCCAGCATGCCTCTACTTACGCACGAGGAAACTGAGGTACACGGGCACCTGAGTTCCATGCCCACATTACTCAACTGGCAAGGGGACAAGCTGGCACTGGAAGCCTGGCAGGCACGTTCTCGACCAATCCTCCAAGCTGAGCTGAAGGAGTGAACCACATTTGCATTAAAAAGGGTACAGAAAAGATGATCTGAACCCCATGTTCATAGAAGCATTAGTCTCCACAGCCGAGACATGGAAACATCCTAAGTGTCCACCAAATGGATAAAGGAGCTGTGGTGGATCTACAATGGAATATTACTCAGCCATAAAAAAGCAAATTCCTGCCATCTGTGACCGTGTGGATGGGCCTTGAGGGCATGATGCTAAGTGACATTAGTCAGAAAAAGACAAACAGTGTATTTACTTATATGTGGAATCTAAAACAAACAAAACCACCAAACTCAGAGAAAAAGAGATCAGATTTGTTGCAGCCAGAGGTAGGGGGCTGTTGGGGGCTGGGGAATTGGATGGAGGTGACCCCAAGGTACCAACTCCCAGCTCTAAGATAAATAAGTACTGGGGATAACATGCAATAAGATGATGACAGCTCCCACTGCTCTACGAGATATGGGCAAGTTGTCAAGACGTAAATCCTGAGTTCTCATCACAAGGAAACAAAAACCTGTTTGCTTCCTTTGTGTTTATCATACTTGTATGAGAAGACAGATGTGGGCTGAACCTCTTGCATTCATCATTTCACAATATATGTACGTTTTGTTTCTGCAAATGTGCAGGCATGTAGCTTCTCTCACCAGCAAAATTCCATTAGTTACATATTGCAGTGAGATCGATTTTTACCCATGCAGCCCCTATGAGATTTCTGATTCTCTTGTCAGGATGTTGTGAGGTATTGCCTGTGATAATGTCCACTGACAGACGACTGGATAAAGAAGCTGTGTTATATTTATACAATGGAATACTTCTCAGTCATGAAAAAGAATGGAATAATGCCATTTGCAGCAACATGGATGGAACTGGACATTGTCATACTAAGTGAAGTAAGTCAGACAGAGAAAGATAAATATCATATGATATCAATTATACGTGGAATCCAAAAAAAACGATACAAATGAACTTATTTACAAATCAGAAATAGACTTACATAGATAAAAAACAAACTTATGGTCACCAAAAGGGAAGGGTGGCAGGGAGGGATAAATTAGGAGTTTGGGATTAACAGATAGACACTACTATATACAAAATAGATACATAACAAGGATCTACTGTACAGCACAGGGAACTCTATTCAATATCTCACAATGAAAAAGAATATGAGAACAAATATCTGTATGTATATGCAAGACTGGGACCCTGTGCTGTACACCAGAAACTGACACATTGTAACTGACTACATTGCAATTAAAAAAAATAAAAATTCAAAAAAAAGGAGACACTTGCTGTTTCTTCATGGCTAATCCTCTTGGGTCCCACCTCTCCCAAGGAGGCATGCCATCTGAAGCGCATTCCTCGTTTGAAAGCTTAACGCAATCAAGTCACTGGGTCGCAGACGCCAGCTCGACAAAATGTATTCTGAAAGCAAGTTTAATCCTGTACCCTGTTCTGTTTTCTTTCCCCGCCTCTGTCTGTCTTTCTTTTCACTCCTCTATTTGAACGGCTCATTAGGAGGAAGATGGAGACCCAGGTGGCTCCTGCAGTGAGAACTCTGATTGGTTCTGGGGCGGGGACGCCCACGCACAATCCCACATCAGCACCACGCAGCCTAGCGCCCAGCACGGATGTGCTGCGTCCAAACGCCAGTTTAACTCCTCCAATCCCACGCAGACCACGACGTCACAGGGTAACTGTGTGACCTGTCATCGTGACGACAGAGGCCACGTGGCAAAAGCTATGATGAAACGGACCTCAGTCCCGTCATTTCTTTCCCTCGGGTTCTTTGTCATCTCCCTAACAGACACCCCAGCCTGGCTTCTCATGAAAGGCACTCAGACCATCTTTCAGCCTCCCCACGGAGGAGGAACGGTAAGGCAGGCACACTTTGGAGATCACTGAATAATGTGACTGTTGATGGCAGACTTGCAGCCGAATTGCACGGAGCAACTTTTCCCAAGGATGAAAGAAAGAAAGAAAAGAAAGAAAAGGAAGGAAGAAAGGAAGGGAGGGAGGAAGGAAGGAAGGGAGGAAGGGAGGAAGGAAGGAAGGGAGGAAGGAAGGAAGGAAGGAAGGAAGGAAGGAAGGAAGGGAGGGAAGGGAGGAAGGGAGGAAGGGAGGAAGGGAGGAAGGGAGGGAGGGAGGAAGAGACGGAGGGAGGGAGGAAGGAAGGAAGGAAGGGAGGGAGGGAGGAAGGAAGGAAGGGAGGAAGGAAGGAAGGAAGAAATACCGCCATAGAAGTTACGAAGGACAAGGACGCAGTTCACTTCCTATAGTCAGTAGTAGTGATGGCTATGATTCCTCTGAAGGACGCTTTTAAACTCCAGGAAGATTTTGTTCTACGCTTCTCTTTCTCTTACATTAAAACAGCATATGCAAATAAGAAACGGGGTATCACTCTGGCACCCCTTCAGTCTGGTTAGCCTTTACAAAGCATTTTAATTTGACCTCTACATCAACAAGGAGGCAGCCAAATTTTACGGGCCCTGCACTGAGTCGATACATGAAACAGGGTGGGTTTTTTTGTTTGTTTGTTTGTTTACAGATTTTTTCACTGCTGTGATGTCACCAAGAAAAGGGGGGCGTTCTGTTCAGACAAACACATTATCTTCCAGCAGAGCCAGAATCCCCCAACGATACACATTTGCCGTGTGATGGCAGCGACTATCGGAAGGAAATCTAGTCCGAATTTATGTCAACAACGTGGATCCTAAACAAGAAAGTCCTATCATTTCATGCAACATCCCTTACTTGTGTATTTAAAAGTATCAGCGGTTCCTTTTAAGACTCAGAAAACAGCGGCGCTAACATCTAAAGGTGTCCAAGCACAAGGAACCAGTCCTTACATAATTTTCAGTTTGCTCAGTTGACCACGATCGTGCTCTTAATTCTCTTATTCCGCCTAGATTCCTTCCTTTACAGACGATTCAGGATACAACGCGTAACACTCTCCGCCTTCGCTTGTGATCACCTGCAGACAAACACCACCGCAAGGCTAGAGACGGAGCCCAGGGAAAGAATCAAGTCGTTCATGACGGTGTGGTCCACCTACTAGACGCTGTGTGAATGTTTGAGTGGAACAAACGACAAGTTACGGAAATAGCAACATTCGGAACGTGGGGGGAAGAATGGGTCCCAGAAAATGCCACGCACAGGAAGTTAGAAAACCCTCCTGGCCGATGGCTCCGGCACCGAGTGGCAGCGAGGTGCCGGCTGTCCAGGTCGGGTACTTACCGTCCTCCGTGGGCACGTAGATGTTCAAGTACAGGCAGTCCTCGTTCTGGTCTTGCACGTAGGTCATTAGAGTATCCAGATTGGCAGTGAACCAGATGGGCAGCATGTCGTGCAACAGAGACCGCTCGTCCAGGTGCTGGGGGCACACCGCCGCAAACTGGGTGGCGTTCCGAACCCCGGTCCACGAGGACGGGGGCTCCGGGGGCTGAAACCGCCTTTCTCCAGTGGGCGGCGAGGCGTAGGGGACCCCCAAGTACTGCTCCACGGGACCCAAAATCTCATTGGGCAATGGTGTTCTTAAGCCCCGGATTTTGCCATAGTTGGTGTTGACCACGGGGTACTGGGCCTGGCTGCCGGTGAGCGTGAACTTGACGGCGAGGGCGGTTATGCACAGGAGGACGTTGGCGTTCCACATGACGCAGACCGGGGTGAGGAACACCGGGAGCCATAACAGTCCGCTGGGTCGCGACATGGTTCAGCCACACATCCGCAGGCGTCCGTGGGGTGCAGCTCCGAGCAGGCGAGGCCGGGAGAGAGCGGGCTTTGCAGGCAGCAAGACCCAAGAGAGGCGAAGGGCTGCTTAGGAAGCCCCTCCAATGGGTGATGGGTCATAGACAGAGCCCAGGGTTAAGAGCAAGCCCGGAGGTCTTCTCGGCAGCCCATGGCCAGACAGCCACCTTCCTTCAGTCCTGGATCTGAATCCCAGCGAGGGCCAGGCTCCGAGGAAGCAGGGACCATCCAACACCTCCTGAGGGCAACAGTTCCTCACAAAAATGCCAAGGCAGAGCGGTCAGCCTAATGGGAGAAAGAAAAAGAGAAGGATAATGAGGTCAAGGCACTGGCCACTTACAGCGTCTGCTGGGTCTTCCATGCAACAGTCAACGTCACGCAAGGAAATTCTGATTCATTGAGGAAGAGCATCTCTAAGCAGCAGAGTCTGGCAAGACCGTCACTTGGCTTACGTTGTGCAGTGAGCCCCAGGGGTGAGCCCCAGCCCCTGGGACAAGGCCAGGATTTGGGAAACACGCAAGTCCTTGGTGAACAAACACACCAATCGCCCAAAGTTATACGCATTACACAGTAACTGCCGACATCTCCCAATCTCATTATGTTTCAGGATGAGCCCATCAGTGGAAAGGGAGTCCGAAAACACTGTTTCTCGGGTGTTTAAGAAAACTGTCGTGTCCCCTCAAGGTGATAAGAGCGGACCTCAAAAAGTTGTCCAAGACGGGGAAAAGGGGGGAAAAGGGAACTGTGCATTCAGACCAAACTGATTGGCTAACACAAAGGGAGCATCACCTAAGGGAAAGGGTGTAGACGCCGTACACTAATCCTCTTTGGGCTACTCAACAGCACACGTCATCAGTGGGCTACATCCATCATCACCCTGAATCTCAGCTTCCTTGTGAGGAAAACGGAACAAGATGGTGCATTTCAAGTACGTGCCGTAGTGCTTGTCACATCAAGACATCATTCATCATTTAAAAAGTGTGGCTACAGCTATCCTGATTTCCATGTAAAGCACTGCATGCCTTGAGGGTAAACCTTGCAGCCTATTTGAGAAGCATATGGTCCATTTCAGGGATCTCCCTGTTGAGTCCGGGAGGAGTCACCTTCCAAGGAGCAACCCCCTCGATGTGTCTCAGGGTGGATCGTATGACAGCTCCGTCTAGACCAACCACTGCTTGCATGGCATTACAGAATGCCCTGCAAGACTGGAGAGCATTGCAAATAATGCACTGGGGATAGAAAACACGGCATGCGGTGTTGCAAGGACTTACACATTTAAATACAGCATTCTTCAACCGCACCCAAAATAGACCAATGTGTCTGTAAGGACACTGTGGGTTATTCAGAGCATTTCTGGGCCAGAATATGATCATGCACTTCATTTAAGTCAACAATTGAGCAGACTAAGTCATTCAGATAATTTTTTTCTTAAATGAAACCTATCTAAGCTGGCTCTCTTGAGGTATAATGTCTCTGGGGAAATTTCCGAAATCCCTGACATTCTGGGCCAAGTTCACCAGAGCTGAATGAAAATGCACTGAAAATCTGGATGGGAGCATTGAAAGTAGAAATTAGCATCACACCCCATGGCTCATTTATGTGTTTCCTTCTATCTTTGAATTCGACTGTAGACAACATTTGGATTCCTGCCACACTGCGATCCAATTCCTGGATAACTCACAGACGAGACAAGAACACGAAAGAGGTGATGACACGTTTGCAATCCTCTGTTTTCCTGAAAACCTTCTGGTTTCGAACCAGCGTCAGTACTTCCTTCTCAAGCCTTCCTCACGGTAAGAGGAGATGCCAGTGATCTCTGATTCTCACGGACCTGGGTCCCTCAGCGCTCCCTCTGTGGGCTGAGGGGACCGAGGTGACCTCCCCGGGCTTTCAATCAATGCCCCATCATGCCATCTTCATGGGCTGCAGAGAGTCAAGAGTGAGGCAGTATGAGAAGGGGCAGGGTGGAGCAAATGGCTACTCAACACATGTGCGATGCTGGGATTTTGAACGCAGACCTGCTCACAAGACCCCCAGGGAACAGAGACAAAAACGCACTGAAGTCAGCCCAGCAGTGGCATCGAGCAGGCATGGTGCAGGGCATTTCAATTCTTTGAGCCTCCCCTCTTCACTGATGAGTTTCTCTTTGGGGATTCCCTAAGTTCGTCCACCCAAGGCATCACACAGTCCCCGGAATGGAGAGTCCCATAAAGGTAGAATGAATGTGTCCCAGGACTCGACAGTGTCGACTTCTTGGGGACACCTGGCCCACAGCATCCTTTCTCCAGCTCCACAGGGATGAGAGCTCCTGCCTGCCCCCTGTGCGTTACGACTGAGCAAGTGGGGTCACACCCAGACTTCATGCTCCCGGTGTATGATCAAGTCTCTCTGTCTAAACCGACCTGTCCACTAGGTTCTGAGGGCCAGAGAGAGAGCATGAAGCAGCTGGACCTAAGACGAGTAGGTCAGCTGGGCACTCGCTACGTTCAGGTTAGGCATTCAAAAGAATCATACCTTCTGGGCCATCTGAATTATTTCCATTTTTGGAATTTGGCAGTTTGCACAAATGGAATGCAACCAACTGCCAGCACGGTGTGTCACAGTCAGCACTGTTGATATTGGGGACATACAGTTCTCTGTCATGGGGCCATGCTGAACCCTGTGGGTGGTTAACATCACCGTGGGCTCTACCCACTAGTGGCCAGTAGCGTCACCCCGTCTCAGTTGTAACAATGTCTCCAGACGCTGCTAAATGACTCCTGGGGGCAAAATCACCTCAAGGAAAGAAATACTGGTCTAAATCTTCAAATACAGGAATATGGCGGCCATATAAACAATGAACCATCAGTAGGTCCATTTGAAAACTACAATCAGAGGCATTAAATATGTATTTGTGTGTGTATTCACACAAATGTGGATGTGTGTGCTCCATATTTGGCAACTTTAAAGGTTTTAGCTCTACAAGCAATCAAGATTTTTGAAATAAACCTATTAAACACACATCACCATCATTGTTTAAAAATCACTGTAAATTTGACCAACCGATAAATGTGGGACAAAAAGATAAAAGAACTTCCAGGTGAACTTCACATACTGAAAAAGATTTCACAAGGAGTGAAATGCTGTTATATTTACACATAATATGTAGATATGTAATACATATTATACATTAAACATATAGGTATATGTTATATATTTTTCCATAATATGAATGTATGTATTATAACTTTTTTCCCCAAATAAAAAGGAGATACTGAAAAGGGAATTCATTGAATACACACAATTGGGGAGTTAGGAAGGACTTCATAGCATGTTTTTATTTCTGCAAAAGTTATACTAGTAGTAATATCTCAAAGTGCCGTTTCAACTTGATTTATACCTTGACTGGGTATCTTAGAATGATTCCCTGCAAGACAGTCATTCTTGGACCCTACATTGGCCAGAGAATTAAGCCTGTCTGTCCCCTTAGTCATAGGTGCATCCAGATGGTCAATAGGCACATGAAAGGATGCTCAACATTGCTCATTATCAGAGAAATGCAAATCAAAACTACAATGAGGTATCACCTCACACCAGTCAGAATGGCCATCATTCAAAAGTGCACAAATGACAGATGCTGGAGAGGCTGTGGAGAAAGGGGAACCCTCCTCCACTGCTGGTGGGAATGTAATTCGGTGCAGCTATTATGGAAAACTGTCAAGGTTTCTTAAAAAGCTAAAATGAGAGCTACCACATAATCCAGCAATCCCACTCCTGGCCATGTATCTGGACAAAACCCTAAGTCAAAAAGACACCTGCACCCCAATGTTCATAGCAGCACTAGTTACAATAGACAAGTCATGGAAACAACCTAAATGTCCATTGACAGATGACAGGATAAAGAAGATGTGGTATACTTATACAATGGAATACTACTCAGCCATAAAAAAGAGTAAGACCATGCCATTTGCAGCAACATGGATGGACCTGGAGATGGTCATACTGAGTGAACTAAGTCAGACAGAGAAAGATAAATATTACATAATATCACTTATATGTGGAATCTAAAAAAATAATAAAAAATGAACTTATTTACAAAGCAGTTACAGACTCACAGACATAGAAAACAAACTTATGGTTACCGAAAGGGGAGTAGGGCGAGGGATAAATTAAGAGTATGGGATAAGCAGATCCACACTACTATATATAAAATAGATAAAGTCCTATAGTAATATAGTACAGGGAACTGTAAACAATATCTTGCAATAGACTATAATGGAAAAGAATCTGAAAAATAGTATCTATATCTGAATATGTGTATATATACCTGAATAATTTTGCTGTGCACCAAAAACTAACACAACACTGTAAATCAACTATACTTCAATAAAAAAGACTTTGTCACAGGTCACAAAGATCACTATTCTAGGATATGGGGACATGGTTGGAGAAGAGACAGTTTCTGCTCATAGGAGATTACACGCTCATGAAAGTATCCCCTTGGGGAAAGAAAAACAAAACGAAAGGGATCTTTTGAAAGAAAGTACAAAGAAACAGGGGAGAGTGAATAAATAAGTAAAAAGTAGTTTTATGAACTAAAAAATAACAGATTGTGAGCCATCACAGGCTAAATGTCTGTGAACACTTGAGTCATTTCTGAGCACAGTACTTAATGAAGTGGGTACACGATACCCTGTATGCTTTAAGAAAACACAATAATGTAGTGAATTCAATAAACAATGCCATTCAGGAGAAAAAAAAAGTAACCCCGAGAGTGGTGCTTTTCACCGTTTTCATCACGTCAGATCCAAAGCAAGCACAAGGATTGCCATGTATGAAAAAGCTCATTAAATGCTGGATTTTCTGTGTCTAATTAAACCGTTACCAAACGGGATCTCCAAATCTACACCAAACGACTTGCAAATACCTCCAGGGTTTGTGCGGACCTCGCTCAGCAAACTCAGTCACAGATCATCACGGTCACACTGCCACGTCTTCAAGACGTCTTGTGATGCTCTGAAAAATCTCATTTCTGAGCTCCTCAAACCACCTCCTTCCATACGTCTGTTCAATATCTCAACCACGGGTAGGCAACCTTTATCTAATTATTGAGACTAGATTCAAAGCCATCTTTGGTGGTTCCCCTTGCAAGATCCCACATACAGTTAACTCCTCAAATCTGCTGGGGGTCTTCACACAGGGACAAGAGATGTGACCTCACCGGTTA